TGTTCCTGAGAATAGATGGTAAAACTGACTGCAGTTCAGTCACACAGCAGGCATCATGGATATGTAAGAAATAGTCTGGCCTACACACACACACACACTGCTCTATATTAATCTGTTTCATTCTCCCTCTCTTTAGCAGGAAGAATGGAAGACAAATCTCTGGTCTTTTTATGTAGCCTGAGTCTCAACAATGTGAAGAGTCTGTCTGCAAGAAGACTGAACACACACACACGCTCTTTGAGCTGTCTTCATGCTGATGCTCAGACTGATGATTAATATTGTAAATATTTCCAGTTAGCTGCAGACAAATTCTCAATGTTTTCACTAAAAATCTATTTTACAATACTGTGAACTACATGAGGATGCCAATATAGGACAGAAACCAAATATTTACAAAGACAGTTCACCCAAAAATTTAATATTTACTCACCCTCATGTCATTCCAAACCATTATGACTTTCTTCCATGAAACACCAGAGGAGGTGTAGCAGAATGTTTACTTTTGTTCTTTTTCATCAAACTTCATGATGCGAGAAATATTGGTTCACCATCGAAGTGGAACTTCTACGGATGATGACGCTATGGGAACGCCTTCGCATGAGCTGGTGTTTAAAGCACATGTGCAAACACCCCAATACAATTGGCTGACGGTAGTCACATGACTTGCTGGCAATGCCATAAAAGGGCACCTATGTCATTGAATCCCCAGATTCAGGAAGTCATTTGTTTAGCGTGTGTGGTCTCCAAACTACTCCCATAGGCCATTTCTAATAATTGAAAGTTGTCTGTTGAGATAATAAGAATGGAGGGTGAGAAAAGATTTAGGAGATGTGTGCCGCCACGTCCCTGCCCTGTTTATCATCTGCCTTTGAGTGGAGTATGCACGGTCAGCCCTTGAAGGAGCTGGCATTGCTCTGCTCACGCCTGGCTCTTTTTAGGGGGAATCTGCACCCCTCAGACTAGGTCCCACTGCTGCTGAGGCAGTGCGGAGGCTGTGCTTGGGGAGATCGCAGGTTGAGTTGGCTGAGCAGCTTGGGACAGGCCTGTCCCTATCTCAAGCTTCGCTCACCAGCTAAGACACTCTCATGCTGGATCTGGAAGCACAGTCTTCAGCCTCTTCCCACTATGGCTGAGAGCATTTTGTTGGATCCATCTGACACTGAGGAGCTGGATGTGATGGGAGTTGAGGCAGATGATGCCAGCAAGCCCACCTCCTCCTAGATCCCTGAATACGAGGAGTTAGTGGAGGTTATGACCTGCGCCACAGCCGGTTTGGGCTTAGACTGTTTGGCGTCGAGAGAGGATTCCTCACGGGTCATAAACCTCCTGCTGTGAGCCTGCCGTTAAATACTGATCATAACAATGATATCGTAATAAACATTTTTCGGCCCATTTGTTCAGTCCCCCTTCATCTAATTATACTATCATCAAGGGGATGAGTGAACATTTATGTGAGGTTTCCCCAGGTAGATGAGATGCTCGCTGACTATCTCTCTCCTGGTGCGTCGACCTCACTAATGACTCCCGTTTTGCCTTCCAAGTCATGCCAAGTAACATCTCAGCTGGTAGGCAAAGCATACATGGCGGCCGGCCAAGCTAGTGGAGTGCCAAGTGCCAATGCTGACCTGTTGAAGGTCCTTGATCAAGGCAAGGGTATACCTCTCGAACCCCTCCAAGAGCTCCGCCATAACACAGACCTCGCCTTCTGTTCCATGAAGCAGGTGGCCCATTCCACTGGCTGCTCTCTCGGAGTGGTGGCTACAGAGCGGCATCTGTGGCTGAACTTCTCGGGCATCAAGGAGCGAGAGAAGAACTTCAGGTAGGCAAGAGTTCAGACAGCAGCATTTGAAGGGTATTTCCCGCATTGAAATCGGGCACCATGACCATGTAGTCGGCCCAAGCTGGAGGCAAGGTCAGAAAGAGAGTGTGGTTACTTGTGATCTATCTCAGAGAAGCCAGGGTTCAAGGCAGCGATCTCGGGGGAAGCCCATGAAGGATCTCTGAGACATCATCATGGAGAAGAGACAACAAAAACCTCCTTCCCTCCTCCTCCTTCCTTGTTCCCACTTCGAGGTGTGTTGGGCACAAGAGGTTGTTAAACAATTACATTTATTAGGAGTTGGGGAATATTACAGATGCTGTTTGAGGATGTTAGTTATGTGAGTTTGAGTGAATGCTGGTCGAGATGGAGTTGTGCTCTCCTCTTCTTAGTTTTGTATTCTCACAGCATGCACATATATTTAAGTGTACGCTGGTTGAGGATATGAATTATGTGGTTGAGGTTGAGCATTACTCTCTTCTTCTTACGCGTTATTTCTTATTCTCACAGCATTGCACATAAAGGTATATGTTGGTTGAGGATGTGGATTCATGTGCAGGTCGAGGTTGAGCATTGCACTCTCTTTTTATTTAGCCATTCTCACAGCTTTGCACTTATAGATGTATGCTGATTGAGGATGCAATCTATTGTACTGGTCAAGGTTCAACATTGCTCTCTCTCTTTTAAGGAGGCATTTTCACAGCATTGCAGATTAATATATATGCTGGTTGAGGGCGTGATTTTATGTACTGGTCAAGGATGAATGGTGCTCTCTCCATTTTAGATTCATATTCTAACAATGTACACATACTGTATATTTTTTTATGTACAGGTTGAGGTTAAGTGATGCTATCTCGTTTAATTTCTCATACTCACAGCATTACATATAGACATGTATACTGGTTAAGGACATGACTGCATTGGTGAAGGTTGAGCGGTGCTCTCTCCTGTTATTTCTCATTTTTCATAGCATTGCACATAGATTTATATGCTGGTTGGTATATGATTACATATTTCGGTTGAGGTTGATCTGTGCTCTCTCCCTATTTTGCTCACAGCATTATATACAGTATATACTGGTTGACGATATGATTTTATGTTTTGGTTGAGATTGAGCATGGCTCTCTCCCTTGTATTTCTCACTTTCACAGATTGAGGCTGAGCATTGCTCTCTCTGTTATTGTTATTACTCTCGCAGCAGTTATGATGCTTTAGGATGTAGCCGAATTTAGTACTCGTGTTTTCCCTCTTATTCCCATCCCTGCAGTATTATTACTTCCCTGGCTGAGGTGGAATGTTATAGAGATATTATTTACAGAGAGAATGCAACAGAATATTCATTTTGTTGCCTCTCACTGCCTCACTCGGGCCACATTCTTGCTGTTGGGGAAGGTAGGGGTAATTAGCAATTGGGAGGATGGGCAGCTTGTGCCTGCTTTCCCTTACTTTTGTCATCCACATAGTGGTGATGCTTGTACAGTAGATGCTGGTGCGCTCCCTCTGCTGGAATATATCTTACCCATGTAGGTACATAGACTATAGCATCTGGTAACTCAAAAGGCAATTTTGGATCATGGGAATGATCCAAAGTCCAAAGAGAAGTGGGATAACAGGATGGGGATAACAAGGTCGGCTCCCCCTTTGCATAACAAGTATGGTACACTTGGATAACTTCAACCCTGGGGCCTATAGCTCTTGGTCACTAAGTGCAAAGTGCACAGAATGGCACTTTTTTGACTCAGCCAGTCTCATTTGTTGAACTTATACAACACAGTGGGCAGGCATTTGTTCAGTATGGAGCAGTGGGTATTAGCATCCCCATAGCATCATCATCGACGCAGTATAGAAGTTCCATAGAAGCTGCCATATTTCATACTTTTATGGCATTGCCAGCACGTCATGTTCTGTCATGTGACTATCATCAGCCAATTGTATTGGCGTATTTACAGACATGCTTCAAACACCGGCTCATGCTGAAGGCGGTCCCCATCGACGCAGCGTCTCGTTCCCCTTCTTGGGGAACCAAAGTCACTTACTTAACCGAGTCATTTTCTTGCATGTCTCTTAAATGAATGTGATGCTAGTGATGTTCCTTATTTGTAAATTGCTTTGGATAAAACCAATGAATAAACAAAAGAAAAAAAACTGTAAATGTCATTGCACTGACTGGAATATATGCATGCGTAATTGACATTTGAGAGCTACACTGGAAAGGAAGATTATCAGTAAATAACGGCTATTTATTTATTTACATTTATTTAGTCATTTATTTACCTTTATGTCATTTTAAACCCATAAGTCTTTTGTTGCACATCGAAACTTAAATGAAGATATTTTCAATGAAACCTGTATTTCAGTCCATTTGACAAAACTTTCAAGCCTTAAAAAGAACATAAAGGCATCATAAAAGTAATCCATATGAATTGAGTGGTTTATAGGGCACATCAAATATGGTCAAAGGTCGATTACCCATCCTTCAGGTTTGTCTATTCTTTAAGGTTGAATGCAACAGTAAGGATGGCACATGCAGCATGGGATGGCTATGTTTTAGAAAATACGCTGGTTACATGATTGGTGAAAATTTGACCTTACAGCTAGTAAGGACAGTTTCACCACATATTCATCTAAAAACATAGCTTAAGCATCTTCATGAATTTGCATGAATTTCCTTAAAGGGGTCATATGATGTATGCACACATCTGAATATTTGGGTTGAACTGTTCTGGAACAGTGTTGTAAATACAACTTAACCACTGATTTCTAGTTGTGTCCTCTTTTGGAAGGCCAAACAAAGTAGTTTCGCTTTCATAACGAAACACACAGCGTCTCCACGACATGGCGGCAGCAACAATACTACAGCAAGAATAAAAGTTACGCCTTCTTTGCGTGAACATTTGGGCGGTGTTATGCAAATCGTCCCACACAGTGACGTACATGTGGGGGCGTGTTTAAATGAGGCATTTTAGGAGGGCGTGGACGAGTCTTAACTTTTATAAAGAATATCTCTTTGGGTTTGAGACTTTATTCTTTGCAACTTTAGGGATATTATCTATTCACGAACAGCTTGTAACACTCCAAAGAGAAAGGAAAACTTGAAATCGCATCATATGACCCCTTTAACTATAACAACCTTGAGTGAGAAATGTGGTTTGTAATGTGAAATCACAGCAGCGTGACTTACGGTGTAAGCTGAGGGAGATGTTGATGGTTCTCTCATCTGTGAAGCTCTTGAGTCCTGTTATCTTAGCGCACTTCAGTCGTGTGCCCGCGGGGGAGTCGCCCACATTGATCCAGCACACTTTTTCCTGCCCGTATAGGAAGTCCATGGCTGTGGTCTGTTTTGTGCTTATGTAGAGTGACGGGCTGCTGGAGCCGCTCAGAGACGTGATCTGGATGTTCTGAGAGTTTGCGATCAGTAACACGGGGAGACGGTCCACAGGCACTACAGCAACAGGAAGACATCTGTTTCATCTCAAATATAGTTACAGTTCAGCGAATAATAATGAATGAAACTGTTGGCCGTTGCGGATACATGTATGTGAGGGAAACGGAATTGGAAAAAGCTTTATTTGATCTTATCTTGGACTGTTATGTTTGTCTTACCGTTCTTGGCCTTGCAGGAGCGGTTGTCTGGTTGAACTAGATAACCTTCCACACAGGAGCAGGTGTACGAGCCGTCTGTGTTTGTGCACGTCTGACTGCAGGTGCCGTACACCGTACACTCATCAAAATCTGAACCCACACAAACACACACACACACAAAACAGTACTTTTTACGTTTTAGATTCTAGTTAGTATGAATGCTATTGTTTATTTATTTTTAAGTATTCATATTGATTATTCCCATTCAATTAAAATAATCCACTGTAATGTCTATATCAGCAGTAATGTCTATATTGTTGCATTCATAGTAGTCTATACTCATGTCAGTCATGTGAAAGTGTGTGTAAAGGTAACCGACCTTTACAGGTCTTTCCATCTTGGCTGATCTCATAGCCGCTCTTGCAGTAGCACATGGGGCCGATGCGTGTGACAGCACAGTTGTCCTGGCAACCAGTGAGAGTACAGTTGAGCGCCAGTTCTACAGAGATCAGAGCAGAGGACGGCTAGAGGTCAAACAACACAACACAATCTATTACCAAACACACTGACTCACACTGCCCGTCAACACTCACTAAAGAGACTTCATGAAGACCGCAAAACAACAAGAAACATTTTACATGCATCTAAAAGGCAAATGACATACATCAAATGAAAGCATATGATAAACAAAATCTCATAAGTTTTGTTTTACTCAATGTAGTAACAGAACTTCATCACATACTGAATGACAACAAAGTACATGCTAGACTAAAGGCACTAGAATCAAGCTAACATGTAACATACAGTAATTCACCAAAGTGCACATTTGTATTTTTATATATATATATATATATATACATATACACATCTAACTATATATATAACACACACACACTCACACCTGTCCCAGAGCTCAGGGGACGCCGCAAACGTGAGCATACAGTCAGATACTAATGAGCCTCTAGATGAACTGCATCAACAGCTCACAGCAGCTATGCTAATATGCTAACAGCTCCTTATGTAGTCAGCCTTAGTGGTTTTGTCAGTCCAATCATATGCTCAGTCCAAAAACTGAGCCCTCATAAGCCCACTTCTGACATGAACACTGTTCCAACATTTCCAAACGGAGATATGGTAATGGCAAACTCAGCAAGTCAAGCTCTATTTGTGTGGCACGTAGGGCTGCTGCCTATGAACATCGTTCCAAATCAGTCACTTTTGAGGTTCCATTTCAGTTGGGATGCTGCCTTAAAAGACAACTGCTTGTGTTGGTAGTAGGCAGCGAGGTAGCTCACTAGGTTTTGGGACAGAGCTAACAACACTCATATTCTGTGTCGATATACAATCACAGCAGAAAGTATGTGAGTGTGTATTTTAATTTGCGTGTAGGTATATGTGTGGATGAGTGTAAGCATGCAAAGTTGAGCATGTGAAGGAAGTTCTTCACAGCTAGTCCTTAAGAGGATTGAGTGGAAATCTGACAGCGATTTGGCCTTTACTTCACATTTCACCATATCACTATGGCAACACAAGTACTCTGATGGGTTACGACTATATACTAGTATATCTACCAAAAATAAAAAATGTTCTTCTCGCTCAAATAGTATAGCAATGCCAAGATCAGAATTGTGATGTCCAGGTTTTGCACATACTGTCAAAAAATTTTAATATATTTTGCTTTGAATAAAAAATTGTCTCTCAAATGCAGAAATTTTACATGAAAAACACATATTAGTCAACCAAATTATTCTTTTAACAAATCATGTAACTTAAAATGTAAACTGCATTTTGTTTGTAACACACTCTCTCTTCAAACATCAAACTCTGAGCCAGTAATGTCTGTTCTAGTTTTCTTAACTAATGCACCTTCTGCTGACCAGTGAACTGTTGACATAGTTTCACTGTTCCTCAAGGTATAAGGTCAGATCGCATAGTCTTCAGTTTCAATGACTGACTCCGTATTGAGTATCTAAAGTGACACATGCCCTCATACATGAAGCTCTGCAGAGCTAAAAGCATGCATCCAAATCATGAATTTGATGATCAAGCAATTCAAATTTGGAGAAAATGCATTTCGTGGAGGGAGGCAGTTTAAATTCACTGCTTCTGCCACTGGACAGTGTTGGGAAGCTACTATACAACTGTGGTTTACAAAACTACTCATAATGTAGAAACAATATGAATATGAAATTAAATGTCTATTCTATTGGGTTGTGAAAAGTGGCCATGGCATACTAGAGTTTGCAATTATGCAGGACTTTGAAGACATGAGTGCATACTAAGAAATGCACTTATGTTAGTACTGTAAGTACTTTTAGTAATCTCCTCAAATCATCAAACTGTTGTCATTCTAAATTATCTATATATATTTGTGTTTTAATTACTTAAGATTTTAATACTTACAAGGACTAGACCGTCTGCACTCATCTCTCAGTCAATACACACTCATAAAACACTGTACATTTTTAAGTGTAAATCTTTTTTGATGATATTTCAGCCAGACATTTCTTTTCTTTCCTCAGACAGAACTGTGGGTGAGGCTGCAGATCAGTCAGCAGGGGTTGCCAATGAAAATCAGCAGCTCTCATGTCAACATCAGCGAATAAACAAGCAATATTAAAAACTAAAGCTTTACCTCTGGTAAAACCGGACACGGCATAAAGCTGTTACCCAAAAGTGTTACCCAAGTGTTACACAAAAATACAATGTAAAAACATAAAACTACAAGTAACTTGCAGAGGAGCATTGTTTTGCTCATTATGTGAGTTGTACTTCGGCTCTGCTGTTCTGCACAGATGAATCTGATGGCTTGAGGCACATTAGTTAGCCCATGGTTACAGATGCTCGTCTTATCAGAGCAAATGTCACTAACAACATTGAAAATTCCTAAATAACTAAAGTCGAATATCTAAAAGTATGACTTATTAGCAGCTTATACGTATGCCATTATTGTTTTTCTTTTGCTTGCAAACTCTTTTTGGTTCAAACTACTGTGTTTGTGTGTGTTTGTGTGTGTGTGTGTGTGTGTGTGTGTATACAAACTCATTAAGAATTTGCCTTTCCTTATATATACAATTTGACCTACAGTACATTGAGATCAGATCTTAAAAGTCATATAACCAGTATACATAAAGTGTCATAAAACATTGTATATTTGTATATAATGTTATATTGTACATAACATTGTAACAAACCTCATGATTGCGAGTGTGATATCATTTTTTTTACAAATCAAAATAAATGTACGAGTCTCACTAGCACTCTGTTCTTCCGACAGATCGGGAGAGTGGGGGCGGCCTTTTGCGTGATGTCGACCTGCGAATGCAGACCCGATGGCTGGATTGCGTTTACATTACACTGAGATCCAATCACAATGCGTCCTCGACTACCTCTGGACCAGGACACGCTGATCGGATAACATTCCGATCAGAAGCGCGTTTACACTTGTCCTTTCAATGTGTATGTGGACAACATCCGGATACAGGTCGCATGTTAATGCCAAGTGTAAATGCAGCCAAAGTAGGATCAACCAAAGACTGCTGAGAAACACACAGTTCTGGCATTTAATTCCAGAACAGATGAGTGTTTTTGAACAAATCAGTTAAGTGAATCATTCAGTGACTCATAAAGACAGTCACTTGTTCTGTACATTAATTAATTAGTGTTTTTAAACAAATTTCTTGACTGAAGTATTCAATGACTAACCTATTAAAACAATCATTTGCTTCATTCCTGAATGAGTCAGTGATTTTGAGTGAATCATTTAAATGAATGATTCAATAACTCACTCACTCACTTGTCACCCTCTACTGGTGTAACGGTGTAACATGCAGAAAGAGTCACTGAAAAATCACCTTCACTGGAACAAACATAGACAAGCGCAGTGATACAAACGGTGAAAAGTCCCTGTGCTGTTGGATTGTATATCAGCACTCTTGGCTACAGCATAACTAATCCAATTTGAGAACCAAAACTACGGTACGTGCTTTATAAATTTGAAATAACTCTGCTTTATATTTACCTAGAAAAACTTATCCAAATGTCTTTGTTTGGAAAAAGTATATAAACCTCTGCCTTCAGTATCTGGTGTCACCCCTCTAGAGCAGCATTACCAACAACCAAACATTTGAAAGCATATATTTTTCCCAAATCAGTTGATCAGTCATGTCAATCACTGTGCCGACTGCACACACAATTATGAAACAAATACTAACCCTTAACCTAAACTCTGACTTTAACTTCAATATAGTGCTGGTAGCGCAGCCTGATAGCAGTACTGTTTGGTCATCCATAATATTTCTGAATTCTGAACTTTTCTTGACAGGTGACTGTATGATTGAGTTGACCAATGAAATTGCCTGTTGGCCAATGTAAGTGCTTAACTCGTTTGGGGGAAAAATAACATAAAAATAAAATCACACTATTTCCAGTAATCAGTCCTGCACATTAGCTTGGAGGAATCTTTGGCCGTTCCTCCTTAGTCTTTCAGTGGTGGAATTTTCTCAGATAACAAAGTATTCATCAATGATGGCAAGCTGTCCTGGTCCAGCAAATAATTATACAAACCGAATACTGCCATCCCATGCTCTACAGTTGGGATGCGGTTGCTATTACTGAATGCAGTGTGTTGGTTTTGCCAAATGTAATTTTTCTTATTTAAACCAAACTGTTTTACTTTGGACTCATCCATTAACAAATAAATCATTCCAATAGTCTTCTGGCTTATCCTTGTGGTATTTAGACAGGCAACAGTGTTCTTCTTGGAGAGAAGTGGCTTCCTCCTTGATGCAGTATCCTACTGTGCACATCATTCATGTTCAGTGTTTGTCTGATAGACTCATGAACATGAAGCCGATGCAAGAGAGGCCTGTAGATCCTTGTTACAGTTCTTTGTGATCTCCTGGTTCATGGATGGTCACTGCTTGGCAGAGAGAAATGGGGGTGCTGAATTTCTTCCATTTGTAAACTATCTTACTGATGGACACCATACTCTTCACAGATACTTCGCTAACAATTTCCAGCCTTGTGAACACAACAAACTTTTATCAGAAATGTTGACTGAGGCATGGCAAGTTTCCACAAACAGGCGTGATGAGGCCCAGACTTTGATAGAGCCGATCCATGATTGTGTTCTTTCTGTTGGGCAGAGCTGCTAAACTCACACCAGATTTATACTGCCGAAACAACTGAAACACCTGAATCCAGTTATGTCTTTAAAATCTTGGAGGTTCACATATTTCTCCAGCATCACAAGTGACAACATAAACAGATTTGTGTATTATTTTTAATTGAAATCTGGTAACACTGTTGGTAAGATACACATAGTAATTCAGGAAATTCATAAGGGTTCACAAACTTTCAAGCATCAGTGTATTTTGTTTGTGTTTGTCCGGTGAAAATTCGAAGTGCAGATCTGTGTACTATCTCTATCAGCTAATACTGGCCACAAGCCATTGCAATTTGAAGGAGGATTTGGTTCGTATCTTCAAACACAGATAAAACGCAACTTAAAGGGATAGCTCACACAATAATGAAAATTCTATCATCATTCTTTCACTCTCATGTCATTCCAAACCTCCAAGACTTTCATTCATCTTTGGAACAAAAATGAAGATATTTTTAATATTCTCTCATAGTTTTTGTACATCCAGTAAAGTCCACACAACAAAAATTTGCAAGCACATTTTAGCTGCCATTGACTATGTTTGCTGTGCTCTGTGTGTTCATCTGTGTGATTATATATAATATATGATTATACATCAATTAAAGCCTAAATAAATATGCTCACCATATAAAGCTTTTGTGTCTCTTAAAGGCAGAGTAAGTGATTTCTGGTAGCCAATGTTGATATTTGAAATCACCAAAACAAATACGCCCCTACCCCAAAAGGGTCTTGCCCCTATTTTGATAGCTCCGCCCCACATATACGTACGCAACCCAGGCAATGATTAGTTCTGTGAAACAAAGCAAAACCAATATT